CCCCCTCCACCACCATCACCGCCCCTGCCGCCACCACCGTTGCTGCCGTCACCATCACTATCGTTGTCGTCACCACCACCATCACCGCCGCCACAACCACCACGCCCACCGCCGCCACTACTACCACCCCCATTATTGCCACCACCACCAACACTACCTCCACCACCGCCAACATCATCGCTCCCACCAACGTCGTTGCTGCCACCACTGCTGTCGCCGCCACCACCACCGTCATCATCGTACCAATAGCTACCACCACCACCATCGTCGCCTCTCTCGTTGTCACCGCCACCACGGTTTTTGCCACCCACCACAATCATCACCGTCTCTTACCACCACTACTGTCGCCCCACCATCTCTCACCCCCACTACAAATCGATGATTAAATTCATTTATCTCTTTTTTATATTTGTGATTTAATTTTGGATATGAATACAAATATATTTATTATTTACTATTTTTTATTACTTTGTGCCTTCAGGCACATGCAATAACTAATATATGTATATAATCAATTACAATACAATTCAAATCTCAAAAAATAAATAAAATGACTTTTGCTATTTGCATTTGAGATTTCTTTAAATTTTACTTTAAAGTTAATCTGGCGGCTAATATTAACACTCCAAATTTAATATGAAAAATAGGGCTCTAAGGATGTGTTTGAAATGACTTTTTAAAAGTGTTTTTAATATTTATAATTTATAATAAGTACTTTAAAAAAAATAGTGTTTGGAAACTATCCCACCATAATCACCACTGCCACCCAACCACCACCACCATTACTATCGCCACCTTACCACACTTATCGCCCCCACTATCATCGTCATTGCCACCACTACTACCACTCCACCATCACCTCTTCCACAACAACCACCACTACTCCACCACCTCCATTGTCGTAACTCCACCATCACCACCCCATTAGTGCCCCACCACCACCACCGTTGCTGCCACCTTACCACCACTGTCACTATCCCACCATCACCCCTACTATATCACCCCCACTGTCCCCTAACCACCATCACCATTGTCACCTATAGTTGTCCCTATTACAATCGGTTGTCATCATCCATCGCAACTATCATCGTCTCCCACCACCACCATCACTACCGCCCACCATTGCTACCACCGTTTGCCTCCACTATAACCAGTGCTTAAATTCTTTTATTTCTCCTCTATCTTTGTAATTTGATTTTAGGTGTGAATACAAATATGTTTATTGTTAACAATTTTTTTTAATATTTTGTGCCTTCAAGCACGAAAAATAACTAGTATGTATATATTCCATCTATATAAGGATCTGATTACACCACACAAATGTTATTTTTTTGCAATAAAATTATGCTTAGAACAAATTTTGTCATTGAATATTACTAAGACTCACTTATAACCATAGCTTTACTTTCTATCCGATCAAAATACTAAAATTGAAGATCATCAAAATCAAAATTAATGACTGAGATTAACAAGGTACAATAATAGTATCGATTTTTTTTTCCAGTATTGTACTATTGGTTACCATTTTTTATGATGAAATTAATAACTTTAAAATGAGCAGTTACAATTGTTAAAGGGAAGATCATGATCGATCACAAACACCTATAATTGATCATAAACTCTCGATATTGATCACAACTTTTTATGATCGATCATTTCATTTTAAGTTGTAACTTACATCTTAAAAAAATTATAATTTAACCTTAAAAAATTATAATTTTTGGTATGATAATGTCGATGGTACCGTAGCCTTTCACTATATAATACNTTTATGATCGATCATTTCATTTTAAGTTGTAACTTACATCTTAAAAAAATTATAATTCAACCTTAAAAAGTTATAATTTTTGGTATGATAATGTCGACGGTACCGTAGCCTTTCACTATATAATACCAACTCTAACGAAGAAGGAAGCCATGGTTGTCAAAAGCGTTCTCCACATGAATGCAGGCATCAAAGGAGACACTAGCTATGGCAATAACTCAAGTGTTCAGATTTCTCTCTCTCCCTCTCTCTCTCTCACACACACACTCTCTCAAACACAGACAAAAGACACACACACACTCAAACACAGACAAAAGACACCCAAAAACATAGACAAAAATGTAGGATTTTATCAATACATGCATGCATTCTATTTATCAAAAGCTTTCTACACCTGGATGTTGGCAAAGGAGACACTAGCTATGCCAATAACTCAACTGTTCAAGTCACTCTCTCTCTTTCTTTCTCTCTCTCTCACAGACAGACAGACAAAAGCATTGGATTTCATCAATACATGCATTCTATATATCCCGTTTGAAAAAAAAATTAACAAAATCTATCTTACAGAGAACAATGATATTGAAGGTGCAACCTTTTCTAGACGATACATTCAAAGCTATGTTCAAAGTTGGCTTTCCCAAGTGTTTCAAAATGGCAGACTTGGGTTGTTCTTCATGATCAAACACCCTTTTAGTCATCTCCAATATTATTGAAACCATTCAAGGGTTATTATCCAANTGGCAAAGGAGACACTAGCTATGCCAATAACTCAACTGTTCAAGTCACTCTCTCTCTCACAGACAGACAGACAAAAGCATTGGATTTCATCAATACATGCATTCTATATATCCCATTTGAAAAAAAAATTAACAAAATCTATCTTACAGAGAACAATGATATTAAAGGTGCAACCTTTTCTAGACGATACAATCAAAGCTATGTTCAAAGTTGGCTTTCCCAAGTGTTTCAAAATGGCAGACTTGGGTTGTTCTTCATGATCAAACACCTTTTTAGTCATCTCCAATATTATTGAAACCATTCAAGGGTTATTATCCAACCACAACAACAGTAGCCAACCATCTGAGATTCAAATCTCCTCAAATGATCTTCCAGAGAATGATTTCAACTCTGTTTTCAAATCCTTGCCACCATTTTACAACAAGCTCAAGAGAGAGAAAGGAGAAGACGATGATCAGTTAGCACCTTGTTTTGTATCAGGAGTGCCAGGCTCCTTCAATGGAAGGTTTTTCCCAATAGAGTCTGCATNCTTCCAGAGAATGATTTCAACTCTGTTTTCAAATCCTTGCCACCATTTTACAACAAGCTCAAGAGAGAGAAAGGAGAAGACGATGATCAGTTAGCACCTTGTTTTGTATCGGGAGTGCCAGGCTCCTTCAATAGAAGGTTTTTCCCAATAGAGTCTGCAATTTGTTCATTCCTCTTACAGTCTTCATTGGCTCTCTCAGGTTAGCATCATCTTCAATCATAATGATTCAGTCATCATATCTTTTACAGAGCCCTAATCATAATGTGATTAGTTTCAAATTACCCTAATTATTAACGTCTATTACAAATTTGACAGAAAGTTGTTTCATTTTGTCTCCCTAACTATTGTGATTTTATCACTTTGTCCCGACACAATGGTAGTTTCCATCCAAAAAGANCAGTCATCATATCTTTTACAGAGCCCTAATCATAATGTGATTAGTTTCAAATTACCCCAATTATTAACATCTATTACAAATTTGACAGAAAGTTGTTTCATTTTGTCTCCCTAACTATTGTGATTTTATCACTTTGTCCCGACACATTGGTAGTTTCCATCCAAAAAGATAGTAGACGTTTGTGTTTGGGTAATGTGGAATAATTGAAGTATCTATAGTTAAAGGATCAAAGTGTAATGTACCGTAACATAACAGGTGCCTGAAGGACTGGAGAATAACAAAGGGAACATATACAATGCCAAGACAAGTCCTCTTGATGTATTTGAGGCATATTCAAAGCAATTCCAGAGGGACTTCTCAAGGTTTCTGTAGTTACGCTCTTAAGGAAAAAATACCCGGTGGGCGTTTGCTTCTAATATTCATCTGTAGGAGCATTGTAGATCCCACCTGGGACGATTGTTGCTTTGTTTGGGAACTGCTAACGAAATCACCTCTCGATATGGTGCCTGAGGTTAAACTAGCAATCGAATTCTGTTCCCTCCCCCCCTCCCCTCCCCTCCCCTCTTTCTAATTGCTAAAATTTGGTATCTTAAGCATCATTTTCTTCGATATCAGGGGCTCGTTCAAGAGGAAGACATTGATTCATTCAATATGCCTTTCTATACGCCCTACAAGGATGAAGTAAAAGATATAATTGAAGGAGAGGGGTCCTTTACACTTGACAAGCTAGAAGTCTTTGAAGACAAACACAAGACCTTTGGTAATGACTACATTGGGAGAATTGTGGCCAAAAGCATAAGAGCTGTTGTGGTGCCTATGTTTTCTAGTCATTTTGGTGACTCTATAATTGATAATCTGTTTGAGAGGTTTGGGGAGTGTGTGGATGAAGAACTAGATGTGGAGAAGGCAAAGTATTTTGATATAGTCATTGCACTGGAAAAGAGATAAAACATTCGTCTCCGTCTCCATCTCTGACTTCAACTTCCCTTCAAAAGTTGTGTTCGCAAAAATGAAACCCAAAGAAATTGACGGAAGAGGGAGGACGCACAAGCAATTGAGCAAATTTGCTACTGAAAGTTTTGTAATAAGAAAGCCAGCAGAAGTACTATAGGCATGAAATAAAACTTGGTGTACTTGCAAGACATGCTTTTTGACACGAACATGTTTGTTCTAACTCGAAATTAGGAGGATAACTTAGGTATGCTTGTTAACCCAAATTCAATATTTAAAATAAATGTATTCAACATTTATTAATTAAGTCCGTTTGATAACTAAAATATAAACTATTTTAATATGTTAAGTGTTTTTTAAAAATAAGCTACAATAATAAGTAGAAGATCTTTTACTTAATTCTGAAAGTTGAAAGCGCTCAGCAAAATTATTTTTTAATAATATTTACACTATGATAATTATACCCCAAAATATTTTACAATCCTATTAAAACTCTAATTAGTCTTCTCTCCAAAACCCCTAACTTATATATTCTCTTTGTTGATCTTTTTTTTTTTTTCTTTCTCTTGTCTTCTGTAACAAAAATATACGTACATAATTATAATTACACACAAATGCACGCACTACACACACACGATTACACACAGACATATGCATTGCACACACACATACTTACACACAAGGACTGCACACACACATATTGTTAATGAAATCTAATTTATTGTATTTTTTCAATATTATTTGATTATTTATTATTTATTATTCTTTTTTTTATCAGAGGTTATTGTTCACTTGTTATGTTATTCAATTTATTATTGTTCACTTATTGTGTTATTCAAATGTTATTTATTTATTTATTTATTTTGATCAAACATTTGTTAAATGTAGACTACAATATAATAATAGTGATTATTATTTATGTTATGACATATTTTATAAATATTTTCAAATTAAAGAGTAAAATGGTAAAACTAAAAATTAATTTATTTTCAAACGTCATGTAATATCCCAAATTTAAAATATATATAATATTAGTTTTTAGGTCAATTTGTGATATTTTTTAAAAAATGGGATATTAGTGTTATCAAGGAATGAGGAATTGTAGGGTTACTGTAGGGTTCCTTTTAATTTGTATAAATATATATGTAAGCAGTCAAAAAAGAGGAAGAAATAAAGAAAGAAAGAGGCGGCTTAAGGGAAAGAGAAAGAAAAAGAAAGAGAAGGAAGGAGGAAAAAGAAAAAAAATGGGTTGATTCCATTAAAGGTATGGATTGATTATNTATATATACCTTGAAGCTATTAGATTGAACTTTAAGTTTATAGAGGTTTGGAATTGATTGAGTTTAACCAATGTGTTGGAAAGAAAAAAAAAAGAAAAAAAAAGAAAAAGAAAAAGAAAAAAGGGATTTGATTTTGAACTTACATAACATACAAGCTGGAGGACTTCGTTGGTGGAAGAAGATAAAGTCCAAAAATTACATAATCTACTCCTTTAACTTCAAGAAACTTTAGTTTGTGTATCATTTGAAATTTAATTTTAATCACTGTTATACTTGGTAATTTGAAAGAATAAAATTTTAAAAAATTTATGGCAGTCCCTAAAACAGAAAATTCGTTTTTTAAAGAAATTACACTTTGACCCCAAAGGGTTCAAAAATTATGATTTAACCCTAAAATTTTAGAAACTTTTTTTTATACAGTCCAGAATACTTCCATATCTTATTAACTCATATTAGAAAGGATATTTATATGTAAAAGATATATTAATTATATATCAATAGGTAGGAAGTACAAAAAGTAAATATAAAATCGTGAAATGACGAAGTTAGGAATAGAGATTGATTGTTATATGTTATTTTGGATTAAGTGGTGATTGCATTGAGGTTGGGAAAGAGTGCTTTGAATTGAATTTTGGGAATCAAGGTGAGTAGTTTACTACTTCTATTGGGAGGATTTTCTATATTAAACTATGGGTGCGTGCGTGTGAATTTTTCATATATATGATATATGTTGATATTTTGGGTTGCAATTAATTGTTTTACAATTGTGAATTGTTATACATATGAATTTGAAAAAAAAATTATGAGATGATTTTATATCATTGCTTAAATGTGTTTTGTGTGCGTTGGAACTAAAACAACAGTTTTAATATGTGTGTTGAAATCATGTTTTATGAGAAGGGGACTAGGTTACCAGGTCTAAATGGTAACGAGATTGTATACCGACGTGGTCGGTATAGGGATGTGCACATAGGGGCCAGTTATCAGGCTAGTGATAACAAGAGACAGAGCTAGTCATCAGACTAGTGATGACAAGAGATGGGGCCAGTTACCAAGCTAGTGGTAACAAACATAATTTGACAAATGTATTTAAAATTGAATGTGTGTGTGAGTGTTTTGAATTATAAATGTCTTTCATTTATAAAATTATTTGTCAAAATGAGTGGGTGTTTGAGTTATATATGTCTTTGCTTTTATAAAGTTATTTATGATCATAAGAACGTTTTGTTTATATGATTATGTGGAAGGGATTGAGGTACAATTTGTTGTACTTATGTATATAACAAAGTTTATTTTTGCATATAAAATATGAGATTTATTTTCATACCTCATTAGAGGTGGTTGCTATTCACGGGTCTTTGTGCTCACCCAAATATTTAATATTTTTCAAGTGAGGATCAGGGGGAAAAGTAAGTCCCCGGATAGACAAAGGATTAGAAGAATTGATGATTTATTTTATTGTAAGTTTTCAGGAATAAATGTCTTTTATGGTTTTGAGACAAATATTTAATTGTTTTGAGAATAATGTTACTCATGTTTAGACTTTAAAGTAGTGAATCTTATGGTTTAGTTATTGTTTTACATGAATTTAATTATAATGTTGGTGATGTTTAGTTTACTCCTCTGATATTCATTAGGTCGATGGATTGGATCACTTTATTATTTGTTTTCCGCTGTATTTTGCATTTATTATGCACAGGGTTAATTGGTTAAGGTCTTGGTGGCCGGTCCGCCACCCACCCTATGTGATCTGGGNCACACACCGAGAAGCATAGGATTCACATGAATACATACAATCTCATGTATCACATTAAACAATTGAATCAAACCTATCTTGCAGAGAACAGTGATACTGAAGGTGCAACCTATTTTAGATGACAGCATCAAAGATATGTACAGTGCGGGTGGCTTCCCCGACTGTTTTAACATTGCAGATTTGGGATGTTCTTCAGGGACAAACGCACGCCATTTTGGTCAACTCCAATATTATCGACACCATCCGAGGGTTGTGCAAGCATAACTATAGCAAAGCACCCGAGATTCAGGTGTCTCTAAATGATCTTCCAGAAAATGATTTCAACTCCGTATTCAAATCCCTCCCTCCATTTTATGACAAGCTTAAGAATAAGGAAGGAGAAGAAGAAGATCAATTCGCGCCATGTTTTGTGTCGGGGTGTGCCAGGTTCTTTTTATGGAAGGCTTTTCCCAAGAAACAGCCTGCATTTTGTTCATTCCTCTTACAGTGTTCATTGGCTCTCTCAGGTTAGCATCGTCTTCAAAAAATTTCACTCATCATATCATCACAATGTCACCCTGAAATTGTCCATAGGAATTTTATTTTGTATCGTTCTATGCATTTTACAAGCTAATGTTTCAAAGCAGTTCCAGATGAAAAAGCCTAACCATTTGCGTAATAGGTTCCTGAAGGCCTGCAGAATAACAAACGGAATATTTACATCTCAAAGACAAGTCCTCCTGATGTTTATGAAGCATATTTGAAGCAATTTCAGAGAGACTTCTCAAAATTTCTACACTTGCGCTCTGAGGAAATAATACCTGGTGGGCGTATGGTTCTAACATTTATCGGCAGGAGCACTGCAGATCCCACCTCAGCAGGTTGCTGTTGAGGTTGGGAACTACTCACAAAATCTCTGTTCGATTTGGTGCCTGAGGTTTGGTCCATTTGCACATCTAACCCGATTCAGCTTGCAATCAAATATTTTTTTTCTCCTTTTCAGCTGCTAAAATGGAATGTTTGTCATCATCTTATTTTATATTAGGGGCTCATTCAAGAGGCGGACATCAATTCATTCAATTTGCCTTTTTATACACCCTACAAAGATGAAGTGAAGACTACAATTGAAACGGATGGTTCCTTTATTATTGATAGGCTAGAAGCTTTTGAACCTAAACAGGATCCCCGGAACAAGGATGACGACGACGACTATGTTTTTGATAAGAGCAGCTTTGGGAGAAGTTTTGCCAAAGCCGTAAGAGCTATCGTGGAACCTATGTTGGCTAGTCATTTTGGTCACTCTATAATGGACAATCTGTTTGAGAGGTTTGCAGTATGTGTGGCTGAACATCTAGCTGTGGAGAAGACAAAGAGTCTTGACATAGTTGTTGCATTGAAAAAGAGATAATTCAGAGGTTCACATGAATTCCTGAATTTTACTTCCATTTGAAAAAGATTTGATTTACTTTATGAAAGAAGGGTTTCCTGATATTTGTATGAAGTTACCGTCTATTCATAACTCCTAAACCTAAGAAACTCTACGACGAACATAGCTAACTTCTGCAAGAAACAGGGAGGACAGATCTAAGGACATATTAATAGCTCACACTAAGGTCAAGAAGAAGTGACATGTTTCAGGTCTGGTGCCCGTTTTACTAAGTCCATATTTCTGTCTCTCACTACAAGACGCTGCTAACACGATGATGGTTTAATTAGGCATAAGTATGTCTGATATCTAAATTTAAATATTGTCAGACCCAAAAACAGAAATTGCCAATGGCAAAATATATGTTTACAACCAGCATTACGACTTATAACACAATTAATGGATCTTCAAAAATGACTAATAAACAGATCTTTACAGCATACCTATGTGACAGTATTCAACAGGTGGCCATCGATATCCAGCACTGGATCATTTGTTATCTTCTTTTCCTTCCAGATGGGATAGGCTTCATAGTCATCCTTTAAATCAGGGTAAT